AGTTTTGCCATAGTTCTAAAGGCAGCAGGTGCCTGCAGTTGGCATTTTTGCTTTCTCAATAAAATCTTTGACACACAGGCTACTTCATTCTGACCTGTTTTCCCCTCGGTCCTTTGGACTATAATTCCATACCAGATTTTCCTGTGACTTCTGACCTGCTATTCCACATCCTTAAGTCATATATGCCTTTTAAGGATCCATGATGGCGAAGACTGTCCTTTGGAAGTAGCTATGGCCACAAGTCTGAATGTGGTTGTCACATTTTTTCCATTAACTTAGCAAGGTTTAGTGGGATATGCACTGAGCTGCTAACTGCAAGGTTAGTGGTTCAAACCCACCAGTCGCTCTGAGGGCGAAAGAGGAGGGTGTCTGCTCCCATGAAGATTTCTATTCTTGGAAACCCACAGGGGCCAGTTCTACGCTACCCTACAAGGCAGCTGAGTCAGAATTGACTTGATGGCAGTGGGTTTGGCTTTTTGGTTTTCTCAAGGCTCAGAATATCACCTGTTCACAGACCAGGTGCTTTGCCAAGTGCTCCTGGGGCATGTTATCAAATCCAAGGCTAATGCAGCCCAGCAAGAAAGCCTGGGGTCATTTGAAGGTCATCTGCCATTAACTTCAGCACCCATGAAATGCTGAGCTAGATTTCAAATCTGCTTCAGTGGGTTTCTTGGGGTGGGACCCCATCCACAGGACACCTCTTTGGCTGGCTGGCACCTAGTCCCCTGCTGGGCCTTGTTGCAGCCCCTCCCAGTCCCAGTCCACAGTACTCGGGCTGGGGCTCTGCTCAGCAAGCCAGCTTCCGTTGGAGAGTGGACTTTCTTCCTGTCATTCTTCCTCTTTGTTAGCCGGGAACTGCTTCCCAGTAGGGAAACCAGCTATCTGGTTTCATATGTTCTCATTTTTAAAAGGCCTTTCTTGGCTCCTTAAAACAGTCACCCTCTCTCCTTTCCTCAGCCCTCAGGGTGGCCTGCTCCCCTAGGAGCAACCCTGACCATCCTCACCAAGTTCTGAGATCTCCGGTTCAAGGGCTCACTCTGCTTGCCTCCTTTTTGGTTCCAAACATCTCATTCAAAGGATGCAAAAATCTAGTTGAGTTTACTTCTCTGGTTGTCTTTTTAAACTGGAGCAACGACTGGAAATTTTCTTTAAGATCTAATATTTTATCATCCTAACCTTTCCAATCATCAAGCCTCCTGGACAGTATGTTGGATTTACAAAGGGAAAAAAGCCCGTCTTTTTCAGCGGTTGCAACTTCAGCATCCCCCAGAGCTACTAAGCCATTTGATGTCACTGTCCTCCTGCGGAACTGGGGTATGGAGGGAGAGGGAGGGAGGGAAGGAGAGATCCCCAGAAATGCTAGGGCTACTATCTGCGGCCCCCCATGCCTGGGTTCCACCGTTCACTTGTGGCAGAAGTGGCTGCTTCCACCAAGCTGAAAGGTCAGGCAGAGGCTGCAGTCAAGTCTGGGGGCTAGTGGGCACATGAATTGCAGCCTACCAGATCAAGTGGATCCTCCCCAATTCCTCCTCATCACTCCAGGACAGCTGGGAAGTCAGAGGAATGTTTTCATCACTGAAATCTCTGTAGGAAATGGATTGGTTATTTGGAGATTCTGGGAATTATGGAAACGTGGAAGTTATGGGGCTATAGGGAGAGAATGACTTCCACTAGAGTAGGAAATAATTCTTTTTGTCTTTCTTTAATGACCAAGGGAGACTGAAACCCTAATCTGACAATGTACGGAGGGGAGAAAAAGGATTTTAAGGCAGATACTATACTATGATAATGTCTGAAAAGTGGAAATTTCTTAACTGCCTCTGAAAATGCTCTACAGGATTTTAAATTGAATAGAGATGGGGTGAGGGTTGTTTACCCCAAGGGGAATCTTTCTCTAGCAAAAAATTTTAAGGGGGGGCCGGGTATTGAAGTTATTTTGGGTATTGCTTTTAGCAAAACTTGGGCAATACCTGGAAATTTAAAGGTTAGGCAGGCAACACTTTGTTGATATTACGTAGCACTCCTGTTTTTAACTGTGAAGCTATGTTTGCTTTTCATTTCTTAACTACCTCCAATGGATAATCAATTGCCCTTGAAAGTGGTAAAAATATAAAATTAGATCTTGAAGCTCCGGTGACTGGCAGAATTAGATAATCTCGGACTGCAAGCCAAATTCCCTGCGATGGAGTCTATTTTGACTCAGAACTTCTGCAAGCACCCTGCTGTTTTCACCACCCCCATGGCAGGCACCACCACACAGAGTCTTCCACCCTCCCGCCTCCCCACTTTATCTCCACAGCCACCACCACAAAAGGAGTCAGGGACAGAAAGGCCCATCCACTGGAAAATAAAATGAACAACGCCAGTGGGAACCAAATTACCCAAGCCCTAATCGATGGAAGCATTTTCGAAAGACCACCTAAGGAGTGTTTTCATCCCTCAGTTTCCCATGTTCCTCTCAGGTCACCGCACACACAGCCCCCTCCCCTGAAAGCCTGGCAGCGGTGTGTCTCTGGAGACTGCCCGCCACTTTCCGCATCCAGTCTGCACCCTCCCCACAGGGCTGGGGACGCAGATGCTTGCTTTTCTTTCTGCCCTCTCTGGGGAGGCAGAGAGAAAGAAGAGAAACTGGTTATCGCATATCAAATTAAGCTAAGTTAAATAATATAGGGCCCAATTAACCATAGATGTGGGTCTAGCACCCAGACAGAACGACAAAGAGCCCTCCCTGGCTCTGAGTTTTTGGGGGGCTGCTGTTCTCCGGGGTGAATACCTAACTGAACCTCCACAGGAAACAAGCGCGGTCCCATAGGCACTATACTCTCAAAGGATGTCAACTTTGAAACAAAGGGTCGACTGTCATGCCTGCGGGCCAAAAGGGCAGGCCACCGGAGGCAAAGGAGGTAAGGAACGTGTACCTTTGGGAGACAACCTTCAGAAAAGCACCTGCCAGGGGGTCATCCTGCCCAGAGGCTGCCTGACCTACCCAGAGGTAAAAACACCTGTCTGCCTCGGAACCTCCAGCCCAGAGCCAATCACCGACGGACGGCTCTTGGAATCAGACACTGTGCTCTCCAGACCAGAAGCGACCAGGTGGGGGAGGTGACTCGTGCCCTAGAACCTTTTTCTTCCTCTTTTTTCTTTTCACATGCCCAGAAGGGAGGCCGAAGTCCCCGGAAGCCCTGGGGCCACGTGCCCAGACTGCTGCTCCAGGGCAGTCACCGCGGTCCCCTCCGGATTTCTTTCTGGAAGAAAAACAAAACAAACCCAGACTCCGCGTGTGCTGGAGTCCAGGCCCAGTACCGCTGCGGGAAGGGTCTTCGGTCCAGAAGCCCACAAGGGAAGGCGGGCTCAGAATCTTCTTTCCCACGAGCAGCAGTCCCAAGAACGGGACAGCCGCCTTGTTTATACAACAGCAAGTCCAGCACACTGCGGTCTCATCAGTAACTGGACGCACATCTATCTATTGGGGGGCGTGCGCCTGCGGCGGGCTTCCCAGCACAGTTCCGCGCCTAGCTCGGCTGGAGGGTCCTTCCGGTGAAAAGCTCTCAGTCCACACGTTCTCCTCAAACACTCAGCTGGGGAAAGAGGGTGGGACTCAAAAGGGTGCAAAAGACAATCCGCACGGAAAACGAGAGAAAAATCGGCTGCGTGGTTCAACCACAGGTCAACGGCAGCCTGTCCCCAGCAGCTGACAGGTCAAGTGGTCAGGAAGCAAATGCTGAGAACAAAGCCCCCTGCTGTTCCCAGGAGCAAACCCATCTCGTCTGCACTGAGCTCGTGGAGTTTTTAGGAGGGGGCGGTGAGTAGAGGTTTCCGTCCCTCTCCTCCTCCCCCTCCCCATCTCCCTTCTTCTCCGGTGAACAGTCCAGTTCGGAGAGAAAGGGAGGAAGGGGCTGCGGGCGCCGCCGTCACCGAGAGCAGCGGCACTTTGAAGCCGGAGGTCTGAACCGCCCCTCGGGTTCCGAGGCGAGAAGCGGTCAAGCACAAAAGAATGCGCGGAATGCGCGGAGGAAGGGACCCTACGCGGCTGCAGGGCCACCCCATCGACCCAGCGAGGGGCGCCGAGGCCACTGACCAAGGGGTGCCCGCAGCTTCGGCCGCTGGCTCTGCTGCGACCAGCGCACTGTCCCTCCAGTCCCTCGGATAAGATATTATCCTCTACAACCGCCGCCCCACCGCCTTCCCGAAAAAGGCGAAGACTTTCTCTAGCTCTCACTTAAACCAAACACGCGCCGCCATCGGATATTCGAGAATCGTGTCTAAACAAAAGAACAATAGAGCTCTCCAAGGGTCCACGGCCACGTCCTAGTCTCCCGTTCCTCAACTACCCAGCCCTAGTGCCCCCAGCGCCCGGGGCCGCGGCCGGGCTGGGCGGCAGGAGGGGTTGGCCGCCTTCCGGGCGGAGCTCGGAGTTGTGCGGCGGGAGAACAGATACGGTTCGCCCCGTACGACGCCAGCACCCCAATCTGCGCTTTTGCATTTGGAGGGCCGGTAACAAATCAAGCCCGCAGGGCTGGTCCCCCCTCAACGTTCACCTTCTTCCCCAGCTCGTGGCTTCTCCGGGCCGGTCCCAGTGCCCAGCGCAAGGTCGGGGTACGTCAAAGCAGCAGGCCTATCCAGTCCCCACTGGCACCAGTCCCCACAAACGGGCCGCACATAGGAGTCCCTTCATCGGCCACACGAGAACCGTTAAGGGTAGTAAATACACGCGGAATCGCCGGCGAAGATTCGGGGAAACGCGCCCGCACGGTTCCGTTGGGCTTTGGACGCTGGCACACAGCACGGAAACACACATAAACCTTAAGAAGCCGAGCAGACCAACACGAGCAAAAGAGCGCGTGTGGATCCCTGCTGCCCCGAGTCACCCGGGGCACTTTCCTTCCCCGGGCACCTAAAGCACAGGCCGTCAAGCACACACACACACCCTTACACACACACACACAACACACACTCCAGCTCCCACCCCGCAACGCCTGACGCTCGGCGCCAGCGTTTACCTTTGAGCAAGCAGATGTCCGTGCGCTCGGCGTGGCGACGCAGCGCCTGAACCACCAGCGACACGGTGCTGTCTTCCCGGAGGCTCTCGGCGCGCGGGCTGCGCTCGTCGTAGACGATGACCGCCGAGTAGAGGCCGGAGCGCAAGCGCGCGCGCACCTCCTCCTCGGCGGGCAGCATCTGCTCGAGGCTCACGGAGCCCTTGGCCCGCCGCCGCACGATGGTGTTGCAGCGCACGTTGACCGAGCCTCGGATGTAGCCGGCGCTGTGCGCCAGGAACGGTCTGCAGTCCAGCAGCAGGCACTTGCCGCCGCTCACCAGCCCCAGGGCGCCGTGCCCGCCGCCGCTCTCATCCCGGTTCATCAGCCTTTTGAGCACGCTGCCGTCCATCTCCTGCAGCTTCTCCACTGTCACCATGGTCGTCGGGAACCTCGGCCGCCGGGCGCGCGACGAGGGCAAGGGCAGCCCGGCCAGACGAAGGCTAGAGGAAAGCGCGCGCAGAAGTGGCTGCAAACTTGGCTCCCAGGGGTTACGGCCCGAGATCCTCTTCTCCCCAGTTCCCTTCCGGCCGCAGCCGGCGGGTTACATAGCAGTTGGAGCGGCCTCGGACGCACGGCGGGACCGTGCGCGGCGCGGGGCGGGAGGTGGAGGGGAGTGTGTTTACGACCGACGACCGAGGGCTCCCTTCGGTTGTGGCCTCTATTGTATTGCCGGTGGCGCTGCTTCTGCCGCGGGCGCTGCAGTTCCGGCCGCCGCTCCCTACACGCCGCCGGAGCTCCGCGCACTGCCCCAGCCAGAGTTTCCTCCTCTGCTTATAGATTTATGAATGCTCCTCGGCGCTCCCCCACCCCCCCGGGGGAGGAGGAGGGGGCGGGTGGACTCGTTACTACCTCGCCAGGCCCCGCCTCTTTCCATTCTCCGCCGGGCCCCCCCTCCCCGCGAGAGCTTGCTGCCTCCCCTGCCTCCGCCCCGCAGGCCCCGCCTCTTGTCCCCGCCCCGGCGCGTGAATGGAGCGCCGACCGCTCGCGCCCAGTCACGGGAGCGCGACGTCACAAAGAGCGGAGTAAACAGGGAGCTCGACGTTCGCTGCCAGGCCCATTCATAAATCCGAGACTAGAGGAAGAGGGAGGCGGCCTCGAGCGGCCGGCGAGCGGCGGCGCCAGGACTTGTGAATGGAGCTGCGCTGCAGGGCCCCGGCCGCCGCGGCGTGCTTCCGGTCCGGGCCCGAGCCGCCCCGCGCGCTGCGTTTGGCCCACGTAACGGAGAAGTGGGCCTCGTGGAGGCCCCGGCCCCGGGCTCGCTTTGAGGTTTCCTGTTTGGACCTCCGCGCCTTACTCTCCTCTGTCCTCCCGTGAGCACCCAAGTGGAGAGGGAAGTGGTGCGCCACCGTCCACCCTGCGAGACCTGCACTTCCTCGCCCCAGATTTTAGAGTTCGTTCGCCCCGGTTAGTCGCCCTTTTAATAAGATTCCTCAGACGCGGGCTTATGTATGCATTAGCATGATCGATGTTCATCTCGAGCCCTTAAATCGGCTTTATAGCTTCCTGAGAAACGTAGGCAGACCCCGACGTACAAGATGAAAGAGAAAGCCCTCCCCACAAAGCCCCACGGTGAGAGGGCCGAGGTTTGGGCTCGTTGTTTTACGACCCGGGAGGAGGCCGTGGCGGTAGCTGCCAGACGGAGGAGGGCAAGTGAACCCCTCCCTTCCACGCTTCCTAAACTACATTTATTGAACCCTCGTTGGGGAGCGGGGGCGGGGCGCGAGCGACGGCGCGTTTCGGCCTTGGGAAAGCCCTCCTCACCCCCATCTTGCGCACGTGTGAATTGTCTTCTCAGGAAATGACATTTAGGGTCTACATTTGGTGCGGAACTGGTTCTGGAGAAATTCACGCGCAAAGAACGACCTTCTAAAACGCTGTTTTTTTGGATTCGGGTTTCTTTGCAGCCCTCTCTCCTGAGCGTGTAGATTTCTTGCCCTCCCCCATCTCCCACCCCGCCACCACCCCGTCTCATTTATGCATTTCTTTTCCCCGGGGCCGCTCTCGGCAGGGGGGGTGCGCGCACGCGGGGAGGACATGACAGAAGCCAAAAATTATTCGCCCGACATCTTGCCAAGTCTTGTTAGTGAGAATTAACCACCGAGGCGAGGGAATTACAGGACTCGCCCGCGGCGGCCTCCGGGAACAGCGGGTCGACTCTTCGCTCCCCGTCTCGCGTGGGAGCCCTCCGGCCCAGGACCTCGAGCTCCCCCGCCTCCGCCTTTGTTCCCTGTGAATCTCCCCACGGTCGCCCGGGGTCACCTCCACGGTCCTCCGTAGGGGTCGCCACCTCCGAGCCCCACGAGCCTCGGCGCCCTTCCCCGGAGCCCCCGACGCAGGTCCTGTCCGCGGGTTAGCGACCTAGCTGAGTTCCGCACCGGAGACACCCGGCCGCGATAGCTTGTGCACCATGGATTTTTTTTGCATTGATGAAAAAAAATTTTAAGTACTACATTGAACTATTTATTCTGATTTCTGACTGCTCGGTGCCCCCCTTTAAATTTTGCGTTCTAGTCGAGTGCCCACGCTAGCTCTGGTCCCGAAGAGGAACCGAGACGAAGGGCTCACCGAGGTAACTGGGCGCCAGGCTCTCGGGGTGGGAGGTCAGCGATCAAAGGCTACCTTGTGGCCTCAGTGAACAGAGGCCTCCCCGCGGCTAAAGAGACCTCTTACTGCCCCTCGGGCGGCGAGGCCCTAAGGATTCGCTCCCGCTTGCGGCCAGAGTGTGCCTTTTTTAAGGGAGTCCGGGCGCAAAGATGCCCAGGCTCCGACTCTCCGAGAGGGCGGAGACCCCTGATTCGAGAGCTTCACGGACCCGGAGAAACCCCGATTCCTTTTCAGGGGCTTTGACAGGACATTTCTGGGAGAGCTTCCCAGTCGGAGGTAGGCCTGGGTCGATTTCACACGTGTCCCAGGAGCTGGGAAACGTCCCTGGGCCTCTCTGGTCGCACTCTGCCCCAGTCTTTGTCTCCCAAGCCCAGTGTTCACGTGGCGGGTAATAACAGCCAGGGGGCGGGGAGGTGAGGGTGCCCACAGAACAAAGAGTTGCTTTCTGCACCTGACAGTAATCCAGGGTGGCGAAGCCCATAAATTTTGCAGGCGATTCACACGGAGGGAGACATGGGCAGGCGCGCGCGTGTCTCCAAGACCGTGTCCCCGCGCCCGTGTGCCGGGCGGGGCTCTGGGGTGTGAGCCCACCCCCCACTCCCACCCCAAAGCACCTTCCAACTTAAAAGTCTGGAGCCGCTTTGTTGAGAAAGTGAATACTTGATTTTTTGTTTTTCAAGAAATTCATTAAAAAATAAAATGAACAACATCCCCTCTCCTCATGGATTAGCCTTCAGTCACGTGAATTTTAACAAGAGAGATTTAAATGATAGTATATATCCGAATCCTATGTAAGATTTCAGCTCACTCTCAGATATGTAGTATATATGTTATTTTGTAGTGTTAATGCAACATGAGGGTTAGAAATCTTCAATTAGTATTCGGGCTGGAAGTGGGAAACAATAAGTTTACACCGATTGCCAATTAGGAGATCTTGGAGACAACCAAGGCGTTTGTTTGGAAGGCATTTCAAAGTTAATTTCATTAACATAAAAAGGTATATCTCCAGGAATTGGGATGAGGTTGCCCAAGGAAAAGGATTTTATTTCAACAGTAAACCCCTCCCCTAAAAATACCTTTACAAATTCATATAACATCAACCTCTTGCATCAACCGGTCATTGGATCGACCTTATTTAGTCACTGTTGGGCTCCAGCAGACCCCTCAGACTCTTTTACAGAACATTTTTTTTCCTCCCCAATTAGGAAATAGTGTGATCTGGGAATGTAAAGCCCAGAGTGGAATCCCCAGAGAACCATGCTTCTATTCCGGTGTTGATGCCTACCTCTGACTCATTGTCCTATCCCAAGGTGCCTGAATAACACTTGCGGGGGAGGGGGGGGATCATTAATGAATTAATCAAGGTGCTGATTGAAAGATTGTTTGTTGGGTTCTCCTCTCCTGAGCAAAGAGAGAGCCTCTTTAATCATTACTCTGATCTAGAACAGAAACCGTTTCATATGAACCTGTTGGCCTGACTTCTTAAATCAGCTGGTGGAGGAATATCTGCGGATAGTAGGAATGATTAAAATAAAAACCTAGAGGCCCTTTTCGGCAACATTTGCAAATGGAAGTGAAAAATGTCCGTCTTTCCCTCCTTTCCTCTGTCCAATAAATCGGGACTTAAAAGATGAGTAGTCCTCAGCATGTAGAGGGAAGGTCACAAGGAATCTCAAAAGATAGCCTGCAGGTAGTTTTAGGCCAATGCTGCCATAAACCGAAGGCCAAGTGCACTGCCATCAAGGCACTTCACAGAGGCCCCTATGGGGCAGTGTAGTCCTGTCCCTGTGGGTTTCCAAGGCTGTAAATCTTTACAGAGCAGGAAGCCTCATCTTTCTCCCGAGGAGAGACTCTGGGTTTCAGACTTCTAACCTTATGGTTAGCAGCCCCACACAAAACCCATCACACCAACAGGGCCCCCCATCTGTTCTGTTTGTTGTTAAGTGTTATGTTCTCAAAGCAGCCCCATGGACATCATAATGACATACTGCCCGGTGGCTTCCTGTGGCTTCCTCAGAGTTCTGTTTGAGCCCACTGTTGTGGTCACTGCGTCAACCCATCTGGTCCAGGGCCGACCTTTCTTTCACTGCTCCTCTACTTTACCAACCTACGCGTCCTTCTCCAGGACTGCTCTCTCCTGATAACCTGTCCAAAGTCGTGAGACAAGTCTTGCTACCCTTGCTTCTAAGGAGTATTCTGGCTGTACTTCTAAGACAAATTTGGTCTTTCTTCTGTTCCATAGGCCCCATTGCACTTCCTAATGAATTAAAATGCTAAATTAGTTAATCCAACGTATCTGTCTACTGAAAGGTTTTCATGTGTTACTTCATAAACTGCTTTGTTTGAAAACTACATGATCTAGTCAGGGGTCCTTAAACTATGACCCACAGGCCACATGCAGGCCACATGGGCCCGCCTAGGACATTTATCCGGCCCACCGGGTGTTTTTGCCCTGTTTGTTTTTTTTTTACTTCAAAATAAGATATGTGCAGTGTGCATAGGAATTTGTTCGTAGTTGTTTTTTTTTTACACTATAGTCCGGCCCTCCAACGGGTCTGAGGGGCAGTGAACTGGCCTCCTGTTTACAAAGCTTGAGGACCCCTACTAGGTTCTAGCATCAACTAGCTTAGTGATTTTGGACAAAACCGTGTCTTTGGGTCTCCCTTTCTTCATCAGCAAAGTGAAGAGTCCAGGCGGGGCAGTTTTTCAGGTCTGGCCCATCTCCAAAAGTGATATGGCTCTGAGAAGGCGTGTGCTCTATCCCATCCAAGCCCAGACTTCACCTTGCCCTCCCAAGCCCGGAAAAAATGCCAGACCATAAAGAACAAGCTCCAATTCCTTTTGTCTCTCCCTTAGAATGCAAACTCACAGGGCCCAAAATTCATAATTTTGTTTACATGTTTAGTCAAGTGTATCTTGAAAAAACTTCAGGTTTTCAAAAATAAAATTTGGAAATAGTTTTTCAAATAGGCGATAAAGATGAGCTCCCCTTGTGTG